GAAATATTTTTCTTTAGGTTTTTTTCACCAGTAGTCCTTCAAAGTTAAACTAGTATTTATTTTAAATATCTCTTAAGGTATTTAAATAACATAAAAGAATTCTCGTTTGGTTCACTCAAGTATATCGATGTTGTTCTTGTTGTTGGATGCTGTCCAGTTGAGTATGATTCATAGTGACCTTATGAACAAAAGATCTGAACCCTGCTCTGTCCTGTGCCATCCTTCCACTTCCTGGCAGACAAGAGACCATTGCAGTAGTCACCGTGTCAGTCCACCTTGTTAAGGATTGTCTTCTTCGCTGATCTTCCACCTTTCGGATCACACTAACAGTTCTAGTCTTTCAGTTTCACTCTTTTAAAAAAAGATTATGTTTTACTGGTTTATTTATTATTTTGAATACATTTTTTTTCACACTGAATCTTTCATATTTCCTTCATCTTCCCCTCCATCAAATATACAACTCTATGATTAAACCCCCTGCCCATCTGTTTGAGTTTTAAATACGTGATTTAAATTTCTTCACTTACTTTAAACAAGGTTTATCATCTGCATATTACAGATTATTAATGAGTCTTTCTCCAATCCTGATTATTCTTCATATAATCTGAGATTTGAAATTATTTGCTCAGCCTACAAATTTGAATAGGTATGAAAAGTAAAAGCACAGTCTTCCTAATTTTAAACAATACTGATCAAATCCTTAAATTTTTTTTTAGAATGGTTACTTCCTATTAACCTTTTCATGAGCCTAATCAAATGTTCTGGAATGTCTGCTCTTCTCAATGTTATCTGTAATTTGTTATGATCCACACAGTAAAATTCCTTTGGATAGTCGATAACACACATTTAGACGTCTTTCTGGTATTCTTTGCTTTCAGCCATGATCCAACTAAAGACAATGGTTACTCCTTTCCCCCAGAGTTCTTCTGAATCCATCTTGCATTTCTAGCAGTTAACTGGTGATGTAGTGCTCCAGTTGTTTTTTAATTATGTTCAACAAGATTTTATTTGTGTGTGATATAAATAATATTCTGATAATTTTCCATGGAAATTAAAAATAGAATTCACTTGGCTGTTCTCAAGCTGAAAGAATTGAAAAACAAATTTAAGCTTTGAGTTGCAGTTCTAAAGGATGTTATGAGCAAAATCTTAAATGAATCAAGAAACAGCAAAAGAACATGGGGAACACACAGTCACTGTACCAAAAAGAGTTGCCTGATACAGAACTATTTTAGGAAATAGTATATGATAAACAACCATTGGTGATCAAAGATCTTCAAGCTGCACTGATGGCATTGGCAAAAACATGGTCTCGAGAATTGATGGGATACCAGTTGACATATTCCAACAAAAAAAAATGCAGCCCTGGGTATGCTCAAATAATTGATGTCAAGAAATTTGGAAGAGAGCTGCCTGCCCTACTAGCTGGGACAGATCCATATTTGTTCTCATTCTCAAGAAAGGTGATCCAACAGAATGTGGAACTTGTTGAGCAGATCACTAACATCACAGGCAAGTCAAATCTTGCTGAAATTTTTCAGAAGTGGTTGGAACAGTAAGTAAGTACATTGACAGAGAACTGCCAAAAATTCAAACTGGATTGAGAAGAGGCTGAAAGTGGCAACTATGAGAAGGATGTATAATATTTTTTTATTGGCTCTGCAGAGGCATTTGACTCTGTGGATCATAGCAAATGATGTCTAACATTGAGAAAAATGGGAATCCCAGTACACTTAATTGTGCTGCTGTGAAACCTGTTCTTAGACCAAGGGACTGTTTTTTTGATCAGAGCAAGAGTGTGCATCAGTGCTATATTCTTTCTGCATATCTATTGACTCTGTGTGCTGAGCAAATCATTCAAGAGGCTGAACTTTATAGAGTTTGACACCAGGATCAGAGGAAGACTTATCAGCAACCTGTGTTACTCAGATGACACAACTTTGCTTGCTGAAAACAAAGTAAAGTTGAAACACTTGGTGAACATGATCAAAGACTGTATATAGCCTTCATTATGGATTACATCTCGACATCAGTAAGACAAACACTTTCACTGCTAGTCCACTGGGCAGCATCTTAATAGATGGAGAAGAGATTGAAGTTGTCAACCATTTCTTCTTGTTTGGACCTACAGTCAACATTTTTGCACCAGCAATCAAAAACTAAAGTATTATATTTGGTCAATTTACTATCAAGGACCTAACTGTGGTGTTAAGGAACAATGACTTCTTTTGTAAGTGTCCTGAATTCTTAATTCTGCTTCCTGAAATGATAGAATAAAGACTACTTCATTGTGATACAGAAACTTTGTATCTACCTTCCATCTTGTTTTGATGCTTTCTGTGCAATTAACTATTCAATATTTTACTAATAGAATTCTTCAGTGTAGTAACTCAGAGATTGAATTTTTGTCTTCAGTTCTTGAAGATGCTAAACCTTTCTTTTCTGAAAGTAAAGAGGACTTGAAACACTTAGTAGCTACCAACTGAAAGATTGGCACTTTGAACTTACCTATACTTTGTGGGGTGAAAAAAAAAGGTGAAAGTCAGCATTATAGCCTTACTAACCCTATGGAGGCAGTGCTGCTCTATCCTGTAGGATCATCATGAATTAGAATTGGTTTGATGACAATTTGGGTTTTGTGGTGTGGTTTTTGTTTGTTGTGGGTTTTTTTTTTTAATATCCTTGTAAAAGATTAAAAAAAATGACCAAAGAGTTGCTATTGTACACTGTTGAGTCGGACCCGATCCATAGCTGACCCTCTGGTAGGTTTTCAGAGACAGTTAATTGCACTGAAGGAGATTGCCCATCTTTCTCCCTTGGAACAGCTGGTGTGGCCTTGAACTGCCTGCCTTCAGGATTGCAGCGCAACTTCTTGCCACTAGGCTACCAGAGCTCCCTCCTGTAATTACCATCAGTATATGAAAACTGTGCTCTATTTTTCTGATGTCAGGGGTTTATTGTTCAAACTTGTTTTCTTATCCATTAACTTTGACTCTGTCAAATGGATGGGTGGGATCATAAAAATAGGGTGTATTAATCCTTCCAAAATAGATTGACTAGTTTCACTATTAAATTGAGCAAATTCATTGGCAGAATTTGAGATTGATATCACCAGCAACAAATAGCATGCCTGATGCATCCTTTTAACAATCCACCTACCTGCGTGAGGGTCTTCCTCTCCTTCTCCACCCCTCTACCTTCCTAGTAACATGCCCAAAGTATGTGAGGTGAAGCCTCAGCATTCTTGCTTCCAAAGAGCACTCTACCTGCACCCTTTTCAGAAGATATTTGTTTGTTCTTTTGTATTTTAGTAGTTCAGTGTATAACCAATCATGAGAGTTTTGCAAGACTTTGCCACACATTTTGCTTTATTGTATGTAATTAATTATTCTAAAAATAACAGATGGTACCCTTGATCACTAAACGAAAACGATTATAGACAGATAGAATCTTTTTAAAGCCATGTAGACAAAGTGTTGGTGGTTCGGTGTTAAAATTCTTGCCTTCGATGCAGAAGATCATTTGATTTCTGCCCATTATACTTCCTGTACAGCTGCTGTCTGATAGTGGAGATTTTCATATTGTTGTTATGTATGCTGAACAGGTTTTAGTGGTGCTTTCATGCTAAGACAAACTCAAATGAAAGGCTTAATCTCCTTCCGAAAATCAGTTTGTGAAAACCCAGTGGATCACAGGGCTCTGATCTCCACCAGTGTGGAGCTAGCTCATTACCTGTCAACATTGCCTTTTTTGCTTATAGTCTCCAGAGTCCAGCATTAATTTAGTGACAGTAAACAGCAACAGAATAAATTGTATCTTTAGTTGTAAAAAGAGCAAGGGCCACATGGGAATGGCCATATATGACCTTTACCAGTTTGACAAAGGGGAACTGTTCCCATCCACAGTATCAATTTCAGTGAGGTCCAGCATATCCTCCATACTCTCTTACCTTTTACTATTCATCTCAATACTAGTCTTACTGCTTTGCTGGTTTCAAAATCCCATTTGCTATCTCACAGACCACACAGAACCATATTGAGGAAGTCAAAAGTTTATAATCCAGATTAATAACAAAATACAGTCAAGATAGCTCCTGTAAAGCGCTCATAGGCACCTCAACCTTGAAGTTTGCGACCTCAGGCCAGTGTTACCAAATTTTCAGTCTTGCCAATATTATTAGCTTCCCACCCCCAGTTGTCCAACAAATTTCTCAGTCCTGGCAATATTGGCTTCCCACCCAGTTGTCCAACAGAGCTCTCAATCCTGCCAGTATTGGCTCTCTTCCCTTCTCCCTGTGTCCCAAGGTCCTGTCTCACATCAGGTCTCCAGTTTGGCCATAATTGTTGCTGCCATAGGTGTTAGTGGAGCAAGAAGGGTGTCCTACATTGTCTTTAATGACGAGGGAAGATCTGTCTCTTTCTCTCTTGCTGGCTTACTCACTTAGTTCAGTGGTGAGACTGCCACTTCACTTGGTCTCAATTGTTGAGAATGCCTAATCTTGTGAAGTGGTAGATAGCTATTCCCCTTGTGGATAGACTAACACACCCTATTTGACTATCTTCATAACAAAGTCAATTAATGGCTAGGAAAAGTCATACTTAAAGATAGACTCCCTATTAGTCTTCTAAACAGTTATCAGACATTTTTGGCTAGTTGAAATCTACTTATAGGCTATGCTTCACAGGTGAAGAGATTGACTTTTATTCTACCTTTGAGTGATTTGAACTTCCATTTAAGTAGTCTTTTTGGCTCACAGTGCAACTCCCTAGAGATTACACCACCAGAGCTCCCTTATTTACATGAGAAATGTTTTGTTTTTCTTTGGTATTTTTTTTAGTATGAAGCGCACATTTTATGCACTTTGATTTTACATCTTGATATTACAAGGTTTTTTTAAAAAGATCTTGATCCTTAAACCATATTCTGCTCATTTAGGTTTCTTTTGTTAATGTTATATTCCATTTTTTTAACTTACATTTAGAAAATGTTTCATCTTGCAGGTATCCTGGTCAGATATAGGAGGACTGGAAAATGTCAAACTGAAATTGAAACAGGCTGTAGAGTGGCCCTTAAAACACCCAGAGTCTTTCGTCCGGATGGGTATTCAACCACCTAAAGGAGTTCTTCTGTATGGCCCACCTGGATGCTCTAAAACAATGATAGCAAAAGCTTTGGCCAATGAAAGTGGACTTAATTTTCTAGCTATAAAGGTAGAGTAATAATTTATTTTAATGCATATTCTATTCTTTGCTATTTTTCTCTTCTACCTTTGACGTTAATAGCAATATGCAGAAATGACAAATAAGATACTAGTATATGTAATTATTAAATTAGGGTAGACCTTACCTAGCTTCTTGTTTTGTTTTTTATACTTATGTGTAATAGGCACCAATCTTTACATTCTGAATTTTAATTGTACCTATGATAAATACTTAACCTGGATTTAATGATAAAAATGATTGTTAATTTATTATTAACATGCTTAGTTTTCAGATATGACTCTATGAACCATAAAATGCTTAAATTTTTATATACCATAAAATGCTTAAATTCTTTTAAATTTTTTTGTTTGTTTCTCTGGCTGGACACTCCTGCTTCTGAGACTGTAAATTCCCTAGCAGAAGAAAGCTCATCTTTCAATTGAAATAGCTAGTGTATTTGAACCACCAAAGAAGCATAAGGTTGAGTTAGCGTTTGCATTTGTTTATAGACTTTGATACCAGAGCTCCCTTTTTTCTATATAGTCAGAGTATTTATGTCTGAAGTCTGTTCTCCTTAAGAATCAATTTTTTCAACATAGCCATTAGTATTTACAAGATTTTTATTATCTTTTCTTTGGAAATAGAATCCCTGGTGGTGCAGTGGATATATATTCAGCTTCTAACTGAAAGGTTTGAATCCATCAACTGTTCCTAGGGAGAAAAAAGTGACAAAAGCCTTTTGGAAACCCATTGGACAATTCTACTCCATTTTATAGGCTTGCTATGAAATGCAACAGCAGAGGTTTTGGTTTTGTTTTTTTTTATTTTGGAAAATAATAGAGAATGAAGATAGGGAGATTAGGGAGATGGACTTTCCACTGTGATCCTGTGTTGCAATTCCAAAGGCACACTATTTGAAACCATCAGCTGATCTGTGGAAAAAAGAAGGGCAGTCTCCTCCTGTGCAGTTTACTGCCTCTGAAAAACCACTCGAGGGTCAGCTATGCATCAGTTCCGAAGAGATAGCACAGAACAAAGCATAGTTCTTGAACTCTTTTTTTTCTTTCCAGTTTTTATGTTAGGCTAAATGAGGAATGTAAAATTTTGAGAGCATTGTTCTTTTTGTGGTTGGTTGGTGTTTTTTTTGATGTCCCTGGCCTTTCATCTCTTGGTAGTTGTTATGGTCATTGTGCTGCCCTTTTCAATTCTTTACTATCATTTCTTTTTTATTTTATATATATATATTCTATATTGCACTTTCCATAATATATATTTTTTAATGTCTACTGGAAATGTGGTGAGATAACTGTGCTGCAATCCTGAAAGCTGGTGGTTCGAGGCCACTAACTGCTCTGTGGGAGAAGGATGGGCAGTTTTCTCCCATGTGATTAACTGCTTCTGCAAACTCTCTGGAGGTTCAGCCATGGGTCAGTTCTGACTTTTTGGTACATCACCACTGGAAATCTAAAGCATACTTAATGAGGACTTTGATTGCTGAATCATTTCAGAAAGTATCATGTGCTTTAGAATCCATGGTATTGAAAGAAGAAGTTCAAGATGCACTGAAAGCTTTAGCCAAAAGTAAGGCCCCAGGAACTGATGGTGTCAGAAATTGATACTACTTCATAACATTCAACAATCATGATGCAGCTCTGATTTTGCTTTTTAATCTGTGCCAAGAAATTCGGAAGACAGCCACTTGGCAAAATGGCTGGTAAAGATCCATATTTGTTTCTATTCCCCCCAAAATGATCATCCAACAGAATGTGGCAGTTATTGAACTATATCACTACATGGGAGCTCTTGTGGCCTACATGGGAAGCAGTATGCTGAAATCCCAAAGGTACACTGTCCAAATCCAACAGCTACTCAGCTGGAGAAGGATGGGCAGTCTCCTGTGCTATATCTCTGGAAACCCTCTGGAGAGTCAGCTAGGAGTCGGCTCCGACTCGATGGTACCACCAGCAACTTATTGCTTATATCACATGCAGTTAAGATCTTGCTCCAGATTATCCAAAATTGCCTAGGACGGTACATAAATAGAGAACTGCCAGAAATTAAAGCTGGAGCAAGAAGAGGCCATGCTATCAAGGATATCATTGCTAGTGTAAGGTGGATCCTATCTGAATGCAGAGAATACAAGAAGACTGTCTATTTGTGCTTCATTGGCTGTGCAGAGGCATTTGATTTTATGGATCATAACGAATTATGGCTAATATTGAGAAGTATGAGAATGCTAGAATAGTTAATTGTGCTCACTTGGAACCTGTAATTAAACCAAAAAGCTGTTGTCCAAACAGAACAACAGAATCCTGCATGGTTTAAAATCAAGAGAAATGTGTATCAGTGCTGCATTCTTTCTCTGGACCTATTCAGTCTATATGCTGAGTAAATCATTGAGGGGCCTGGCTTTTATGGGGAGGAATATGGCATCATCATTGGAGGAAGACTTACCAACAATCTATGTTATATAGATGACAGAACTTAATGTATGAAGTTGAAAGACTTGCTATAGAAAGAAGATCAAAATCCTTCAATATGGATTACATCTCAACATCAAGAAAACAAAATTCCTTACCTTTGGACAACATCATGAAAAGATTGAAGAGAAAAGATAAAGTATTGAAGCTGAGAACAGTTGCTTCTTGCTTGGATTCACAAACAATCCTCTTGGTAACAGCAGTCAAGAAATCAAAAGTTGTGTTGCATTGGGAAAATCTGCATCAGTCACATCTCCAGGGTGCTAAAGAGCATCTATGTATGTCAGTGCATCTGCTTGAAGCCAAGGTCTTTTCGGTTTACTTGTTTTGTTTCTAATAGTTGGACAATGAATAGGGTTGTTTTTTGAATTGTGGTACTAAAAATGAGTACTGAATACCCCATGGACTGCCAGAAAACAGTATGTCTTGGAGAAGATGCGACCAGGATGTTTTCTTAGAGGTAAATATGGTGAAATTTCATCTCACATATTTTGGACATATTGTTAGGAGTGATTAATCTTTGGAAAAAGACATTATGTTTGGAAAGGTAGGTGGTCAGGGAAGGAAAGCAAGACCCTTAACAAGATGGACTGACACTGTGGCTTTAACAGTGGCCTTGAATATATCAGAGTTGATGAGAATGGTGATAATAGAGCAAGGTTCAAGATTGTTCAGAGTCACCGGAAGTTCTACTTGATTCGATAACACCTAAAAACAACAGCAAGTCACAGTTATTTGGATTTCAATATGGATAAAGAAGACTATTTTCTTACAAACTATTTTCTGATTCATTTGCTTTTAAGCCAGTAGTTATAGATGGTACTAGGACTGCTTTCTGTCTTATACTGGATGTAACTTAGAAACATATTTATCATAACTTTTAAATGTAAAACCTGTCAGAATCTTAGGAATTTTCCTGTTAATCATTTTCACTGTGGGAAATGAAGTTTCTTAAAATTTGTTCTTACATGGTACTCATTTAAAATTATTTTTATGTAACTATTTTTATATGTTATAGGTATTTTTATTACATTTTTAATTATCTCACAAAAGATAAGTGATGCCAAGAAATTAAATTCATAACTTTGATTATTATGTATCTTAGTTACCAATGTTTTATCTTAGTTAACAACTTTTTAAACCTTGTGATTTAAGTGAAAACTCACATAGTAAATGGATTTTCCCTTCAACAGTTTATATACACTGTGTTTAGTTAGTGACATTGATTTCAATACCCCCGTTGTAACAGCACTCTTTCCAGTACTTCCCAGTGTGTTGCATTTCCATTGGTTCTCATGCCTATTTCTTCTTGCCCTCCTGTTCCTTCTTCCTTCGGTGGATGCTAATCATTTAACTTTGTATGACTGACTTTTCAGTAATTAATATTCTAAAAAGAGTTTTTCCTTTTCAATATGTCTAAAATATTTGTGCTTCCCAAATGGCTTGAATATTTATTTACACACACACACACACACACACACACACACACACACACACTTTAATATGTAAAATGTATAAGACTTGTTTAGAAAAGCTAAAATTTCATTGAAACACATAAAAATGCCAGAAGAAACAATAATTTATTTTGAAACCAAGCAAACTGTTATATTCTTTTTCATAAAAACTTAACATCAGAAAAAAGAGTTTCATAGCCAATGTCTTTGACTTTACTTCCTTATATATAAGCTACTCCAAGTGTCTTATAAGCATAAGTGAAGTAAAGGAGACTAACGTCATTGCTGAAGAAAAACAAATCATCTTTTTGTGTTCTCTCCTTTTTATTTAAACAATCATAAACATCTACTATAGCTTAAAGAATAGTAAAATAAACACCAACTGCATATATATATATCTCCATCCCTTCATTCAAATTCAAATATTGAATAATACTGTCATTTTATATAAATACTACACTGCATAAAAATTTACACTAAATTAAAATTACTTACTAGTGAAGAAATAAAAAGATTAAAGAACTAAAGGATCACGTTAATTTCAGTTTTTATAATCCATAGAAATTGGCAATACCCAGCAACCACTGATAGTACCACAAGAGAAGATCCCTGAGGGAGGAGAGAAAATGTGAAACTAGAAATTATTTTAAAAAGGCACGTTTTTAATAAAGTCTCTAACAGAGACTGTTTACCCTCTACAGACTATCATTGGCTGACCTTCACTGGGTTTCCAAGGCTGCAAATTGCATTGGAGATTGTTCATCTTCCTTCCATGGACACACTGATGGATTTCAACCACTAGGGACAGTCTTTGGGTAACCAGCATAGATGTGCAGACTAGGTCACCGTGTACCCTCCCCAACCTGATATAGTGACTTAGCTATTGTTGTTATACTCCTTCCAGTCAGAACTGAATCCAGCAGGTTTTCAGAGGCTGTAAATCACCCAAGGGGAAACTGCCATCTTTTCCCTATGGAGCATGCACTTCAAGCAACTGAACCACTTTGTCTTTGTCTTTGGAATGGCAGTGTAACTCTTTATCATTAGGTGTCAGAACCCTTACTTGTCAATCCTG